TCCACAAGAGAAGGCTGAGGGGGGATCTAGTGTCCTGTTACAAACTAGTCAGAGGGGACCAGCAGGCATTGGGGGAGTCCCTGTTCCCCCAAGCACTACCAGCAGTGACTAGAAATAACGGTCACAAGCTGGCTGAGGGTAGATTCAGACTAGATATCAGGAGGCACTACTTCACGGTCAGGGCGGCTAGGGTCTGGAACCAACTTCCAAGAGAAGTGGTGCAGGCTCCTACCCTGGGGGTCTTTAAGAGGAGGTTAGATGAACACCTTGCTGGGGTCGTTTGACCCCAGTACTCTTTCCTGCCATGGCAGGGGGTCAGACTCAATGATCTGCTCAGGTCCCTTCTGACCCTACTAACTATGAAACTATAAGTCATATAATCATGTGTGTCACACCAGGGAGAGTGAACTTGGCCTGAGGGACTCAGCTGCGCTTCCATTGACTTCACAGGGTGAAAGCAGGGTCATCACCAAGATGCATGAATGAAGGTTGGAATCTCAGACCAATCAGATAAATTCACTAAAAACAGCATGATCTTGCAGTTATTTTGAGTTTTGCCTGCCTGATGCTGTGAAAGAAGGTGTCACATCATTGCAAATAGCCAGATCTACTCTATGTCACACTAGTATAAATCCAGAGTAATATCATCGACTTCAGCAGAATTACTCTGATCCAGTAGAGATACTACATCAGAGGTTTCTTACAGAATCTGGCTCTGGGTCAGGACCTCTGCTAGTTGAAGCTATCACAAGTCCATTGATTTCCCTGAACCATGATGATCTGCACGAGTGAAGAATCTACCCCCAAAATACTATTATTTATTATTAGCACAACAGGTAGGGAAACAACTGGTCTTACAGTCAGTGTAACAACAAATTAACAGACTATGTACTGCAGAAAGCAGCTGACACAAAAGGATTTCCTGCCTTCACTGTAGAGTGACACGTGTTCTCTTCTTCTCTCAGCCACAGATCATGTGCACCCTAGATAACCCCTTTGACCCTACTCTGGTCAGTCTCCCTTAGCAGGCAGAAAAGAATGAATGAGAATAGAAACTTTACACAGTTTCTCAGCAGACAGAGTAGACTGTTTCATAAATTAGTTGGTCTGCTCTTAATGAGAGATGTGCCGTTAAAATGGAACTCAAAGATGATCAACAAAACTACTTCAACTAAACTTGCATTGCTAGACTAAGTCCTGTAGAAAAGCAGTAATAATCTAGGAGCTACCTGACAGAAGTCCAGAATAGTACTTTATATCAAAATTGTTAAAAGCAAAATGAACCCACCTTTACTATCAAGGCAAATTAAAATGTAAATATATGCAAATTTTAAACGTCTTACTATGGCAGTTTTTTGTCCGCTCTGGTTGGGAACATCTGACAGGATTAATTGATCTGTCAGTTTATGAGGTCAAATTTCTGTCTGGAATAATCCCATGTTTCCAGTGGGCTTTCACCAGGTAGGAATTCAGCTCACTGTCTCTAATCAAGCAAGAAATAGCACAAGGAAAAGCATTAATTTATGTTTCTTTATAACCACAAAAGTGATAACAAGTGCGTTAACCATTTCACATGCAATAAGTGAGAAATCTTCAGCTAATGCAGCATTTCTTGAACTTTTGAAAGCTGGAGGCTCAGGACAATAGAAATAATTGTGGTCTCCAACCAATTTGCAGAGCAACTGGGAAAACTTGCATTGCTGCTGCTGTCTCTTTTTTCTCAACCCTTCACTACTATTCGCTTACTAACCCTTTGCCTCCCACACTCTAAACCAGGAGTGTCAAACTTATCCAGCTCTACGGGCTGGATGAGTGGCATGGAGCTGAATTGTGCCCACAGACTCCTTCCCTTTTACCCTCCCCCCACCATACCTGATCCCATGGCTTCTCCAGCCAATCTGGGACCCACACTGGAGCAGGTGCCAAGTGTGGTGCACATCCCAGAGTGGGTACTGCATGTGGTGCAGTCCAGCTGGGGTGGCTGCTGCATGCAGTATGGCTGCCAGTCTGCCCAGACTACACTGCACGTGATGCCCTTTCCAGCTGCTCTGGGATTCATGACACATGTGGCACAGGTCCCAGGCTGTCTGGAGCCCCCACGATATCACACACGCTGGGGGAGGGGGGAGAGAAGGAGCGGGAGTTCATGAGCTGGATCCAACCTGCAAACTAGTCCCACATGACGGATGCGTGCCATGCCCCGTGTGGGTCTGATTAGGTGTGGGGGCAGCACTGGGGGCCAGATGGTGGGCTCCATGGGCCAGATGGAGTGCACAAGCCATATGTTTGACACTCCTGCTCTAAACGATGCTAAAGACATTTCTCTTTCCAGTGCAGCTGGCTATTTCTGTCTCTTGCTGATGTCCCACTGGAATAAGGCACCTTGAGAATATGCAGACAGCCTAATTATCTACCAAGCAAAATATCACTTGCACAGATAGCTAAGATTACGGCTACCGCAGGTGGAAACATGAGGACGAAAGTGTGGGTTTATGATGACATTTGGGCCACTCAGCAGCAGAGAGGGCAGCTCATGTCCAAATAATTTAAAAAAAAACCTTGTGTGCCTCAAAGCAATATTGAGCACATGAGTACAGGGAGCAAATTCTCCTAAAAATTCAGGGGATCTGCAGGAGCCACATCCTCAGAATTTGCCAAAATTCCCAGAAGGTCCAGTCACTCCCGTCCATTGCTTGTTAAAGCACATTGGACTTGTGTGTGTTCAGCTCTTTTCTCTCATTGGCTGACAGTGGACAGCCACATGATCTGACTGCCCCCCACAGTCAGTGTTTGTCATCTCCATGTGTACGTTGTACAGAACACGTTGATGATGCCATGTTTAAAGATTCACATGAGATGAACTACTAGGTGTCTTTTTCATCAACTTATTCCTCATTCAGATTACAGGGTGTTTTGATCAAGTAAAGATGCCAGCCTAAGACTAACTTTTCATTTTGGACTGCCTTGTTGCAATTTAGAGAATCTCAAAATCTGCCATCTTTCTCTCTGCAACTTTTTGCTGAACTAAGGGTGAAATTCACTTTTATGTAGAGCGTCACTGCACTGCGTACATGCAAAATAGGGCAAAAGAGGTGCTCAGGTGTCATTCCGGCCCTCTAAGTGGGCTGAATTTGAGCCTCAGAGCTCTGTCCAGCCTTAATTGAATTTGGTTTAGCCACTGATTTCTGTCAGAGACAGATATTCAACCCAACATGCTCCAATACTCTTCTGCTTGCCACTGTTAGACAAAGTAAGTAGCAGGGCACCTGTCCATATCATAACCATCCACATCACCCAAAAAAACCTTGCGTCTTGCATGTTTCCTGGACCATCACCACTACAGCAACACTCCAACCCTACCACAACATAACTGTGTGTTTAGCCATTGTGATGTTTTTGCACAATTTACTTCCAGATGTGCTCCGTTCTTGCAAACTCAAGTTTTCTTGAAACTTGTTCATTTATAGGAGTGTTTATTTAACAAATATAAACTCACTTTGGGTTTTCTTATTTCTAGAAAGACAATGACCGTGATCACAGAGTGAGACTTGCCATAGGGAACGGGTTAAGGGGTGATGTTTGGAGGGAATTTGTCAAAAGATTTGGAAACATCCGTATTTTTGAGTTCTATGCTTCAACAGAGGGAAACGTTGCCTTTGTTAACTACACTGAAAAAGTGGGTGCAGTGGGGCGTGTCAACTGCTTCCATAAGGTAAGAAATAACGCTGCTTTCAGGGATGAAGTTCAGCCCATCACCAAGGGTTGCCTAGACCCCCTGTATAATGTAAAACCCAAAGGGCCATCAGAGGCAGTACAAGCTGAGTCTTAGGCAAAAAGTCTTCCCTTTCCCTACTTTAGCCGGGCTGCCAAACCACTGTATATCAGAAGTAGTGCTGCCATCTTTTTTTTTGGATTCCCATACAGTCCCCAGTACTTGGGCCCTGTTTGTGTATTTGAAATATTATGAACTTAGCAGTTTTCAATGCAAAATTAAATATACAGCATGTATTGAAAATATAGTTAAGACATTCATATTCACGTGTTCATATATATTTTGTAAATTTCCACTAGAAGATTATACAGTATGAGCTGGTTAGATATGACGTGGAGAAAGATGAACCAATCCGAGATGAAAATGGATACTGCATAAAAGCTCCTGTAGGTATGAACTGGCTGTTTTGAAACATCACACGCATATTTACTACTTTAAACTGTCAGGAACCTTTCTGTGCCCCTCAACTGGAAAGGTACTTGGTGTTTGGGATTTTTTTTTTTTTTTTTTTAACCACAAATTAGAAAATTTTATATTAAGGAAACCAGATTCAGTAGGCAGCTGATAAGAAAAGTAAGGGATGATGCCAGGTTAACAAGTCTATCTTTATATTATGTGTTTTAATAATTCTTTCACCCATCCTTTTGTTTGTGAAGTCTTTTGTAGTAAAGGGTACCTTAAAATGTTGGTTTGAACTCAGCCTTTTCAAAGATCTTGACTATCAACTTAAGCATTGTTCTTTTTTTGTCTGATAAATTTGCATAACCTGTCCCTGAAGAAGCATTTACAAAACAGTCGTAGAACAAAATTTGTGTCCCAGTAGATGAAACTTTTCATCATTAGCAACACAAAAATCACATGTATAAGTTAAGTAAGCTTTCTGATACTTTTATCTCACTATAAGGATTTTCCTATGGATGATGATTTTGGTTGGAGGGTACAGTTCTGAATTTAAACAGAACATACCAGGTACTTGTTGATTTACTTGCTGCTGAATGGCCCAATTTATAGTATTTTTAAATTAGTGTATCTTGTCCCATGCTTTCAGCTTTGTACCTGAAGGTGTTCAGAACTTTCATCGTGAGGCCAGACTCTATTTCATTTACCTTCTTACAAGTCCACTAGAGCTGGCAGAATTACTCGGATATGTTTGAGAGAAGGATTTGGCCTCTGGAGTTAACAGCACCAGATCTGCAGCTGTGTGAGGGAAAAGCCTGAGAGGGCGGTCATGTCTGGGAGGTGTGGCAGAAATGCTAACTCCCTCTGTACGTATGGGGGCACATCACAAGCATATGTGATGTACCCCCACAGTGGACACATTCCACTGAGGTCAGTGGGCAAATAGGCATTTATGTAGTAACAGAGGATCTGCACCTGGAGTCCACTCCCTTCATTAATAACCCTAGATCATGTACTGCTGCTGAGGAGAGGGCAGGGCATGTCTAGCCAATATTCTTAATTCTGTGTTTAAGCCTGGCAAATCTGGGGTTTTAGTTGTGGGGACTATTTCTAGTATTTGGCCACGAATGATTATCAGATGCTT